AGCTTTCAGGGAACACTGCTGCATGTGTATAATGAAGGTGATTGTGCAGTGCTGTGTGTGTATGTGTTGGACGATGGCAGTGTGTGGTGCTATGTGTGTTGGATGGTGTATGGTGCTGTGTGTGTGTGTGTTAGCAGAATGTGGTGCTATGTGTTGCTGGATGGTGACAGTGTGTGGTGCTGCATGTATGTAAGGACAGTGATAGTGTGATGCTGTGTGTGTATAGTGGCTGCATATTGGGGTGGGGGACAGGCTGTGTTGTGTCTACTGGCAGTGTGTGTGGAGACTCTCTGTGTGTATGTGTTTGACCCCAGTCAGGCCCCCCTCCCTGCTGCTCCAGGCTGGTTGCAGCACTGCCCAACAGCTCCCAGGAGGAGGGCATGGCGTCCTTTCATCTGCAACAGGACGGAGAGTGGCTGGAGCTGGATAGAGCTCTTCTCTTGCGAGCCTTGCATCATCTCCCCCGCTCCTCCCCAGCCCTTTGGCTTTGATTATCAGCCTCTGTATGGTGAAACACCCTGGGAATTCAGACCCTGTAGTGTGTGTGTTGCACAGACACATCCACACAAACATGCATGCAAACATAAATATACACAATCATGAATGTACACATAATCTGCTCACATGCATGCACAAATACAAACATGCATGTAGATGCACATGCATGCACAAACATGCATGTGCACACACACACATGCAGTCTGAATCCCCAGCTGTGAATATCCCTGGTAAGTGGCCTGCATGCTGGGAGGAGCAGGTATTTTGCAGCAGGAACTCCATTCTTCCCAGCCTGTGCCTGCCTGATCCCACAGCTGCAGCTGGAGGGCGGGTGGATGAATCAAGCACTCCTGCTGACAGTGGTAGGCAGGCCCCAGTGGCCTCATGCTCCGCAGGCGGGCGGGGGCCAGGACTGCCCTCATTGGTGGCTGCTAAATTTAGGAGACTGATTATAGTTTGGGGTTTGGAAAGGAGAGAGGAAAATTCCCACTGAATAGACGCAGGGCATGAGTGCACGTGTGAGACAGAGGCACATGCAGTTTGAGTGTGTGAGACATGTACACAGTGTCACAGTCACATACCCTGGTAGGCTCTCACACAACAATCACATACACAAAATCTCTGCCACAGTCTCTCTCTCACACACAGTTTGAATCTCATATACACAGCATCACTCACCCTCACCCCCAGTCCTATCTGTCAAGGGCCAGCTGGCTCAGTGATCCTGCAGAGGGAAACAACCCCCAACCCTGGTGACCCTGCCCCCTCCTCCTGCTGACTCCCTGTGACAGGTGTTGTATGTTAAGTGGGTTGAGAGCAAGGGAACCAGACTTCCAGGGTAGGTGAGGTCCTGGGAGGAGCCCCATGGATGGCCCTTGTGTGTGTGTGGGGGGGGGGGAGAGCAGTAAGTGCTTCAACTGCCCAAAAAGCCCAGGGGGCACTAACTCAGGGGCTGGTGTTGAGGGGATGACTCAACCCAATTCACTGCTGCCATGGGAACGAACTGTGGGCCTGTGTCTCAGCCTCCCCAACAGCATCTCCTAGGCACACCCCCTGCCATTTCTCCTCTACAAAAAGAGTGGGCGGCCAGAGCTCCCAGCTGCTTCTATCTCCTGCCCTGACACGGAGCTTCTGAAAATAGCTCCCTCCATCTTTGGAACATCCCCCAGGGAAGAGGGGGTCTGAGCCCTGTGCTACCTGATGGGGAGGGGAAAGGGACTCTAAATCTGGCCTCCTGGCAAGAGAAGAATTGGACCCAGTGCCAATCTGATGTCTCTGTTGAGACATTTAGCCTCCTACCCCCATTCCTGGAGCATCACTCAAAGCAGGGAGGAGGGTGGCAGCACACATTCAGCAGGGAGTCAGATGATATACCACATATGGAAAGAAAACAGGGTGGCCTTTCACTCCTGTTTGCTGCTGCTGTTCTGCCTACATTAGTTCTGGGGATCCCTTCCACCCCTGCACAGCGCCAGTAGCACAAGCTCGGTGGGGAGGAGCTGCCCCATAGCTCTGTTCCACTGGAGTTCCCCACCATCCCTATACCAGCTTTCTCCCAACCCACTGCTCCTATTGTGTCTCTTCCCGCCCCTCCCTTCTGCCACCCACCAGTAATGTGTTTACAGACTCCCTCCTACAGCCCTTTCTCCAGGCCTGTCTCAGTGGTGGAGAGGGAGGGCCAGGCGAGCAGGTGTCTGCTCAGACAATGGCGCTGCTTTGTTGGGCTGCAGGGGGAGGGGGCGGGGAGAGGAGAAGGAGACAGAGAGAAAAAAAAAAAGGTCAGCAGAGAGCTTCCCTTACACTGGGAGATGGAGCCTGAGCTGCATCTTCCAGTTGATAACAGTGTAGGCTGCCAGTGATTATGGGAGCATGTAATGGAGGGAGTTTGTGGTATTGGGGCAGGGACTAGAATACTGCCAGGATGGGGGCATTTGAGATGTAGAGGTGTGTATGAGGAAAGAGGGAGGAACAGATGGATGCAGGGATGGATGGATAAAGAACGTGGATGGGAGGATGAAGGAGTGTATAGAAGTGTGTGCATGAGGAAGCAGACACTTGTGCATAGAGAGGAGGCCAGGGACTAGAGGTTTGCTAAAGCTATAAGCAACTAGAAACAGGGGCTCATATTTAGAAATGCTGGGTAAACTTGGCTACCAGCTCTGCCTGTACTAGTGAGCTAGCTAGCTAGCTAGATGGGTAGTTTAGAGGAGTGTATATAGGGATGGATGAAAGGATAGTGTTTGACCCACTGTTGTTGTTGTCTTTAAACACAATGCTAGCTGGGCAGGCCAGGATCCCTATAGCATCAGGGGAACCAGGGACTGGGATCCTCTTCCTCTCACCCCACCCAGCCAGGACCTGGAGATGTCTGCTGCAGTGGAAGCTATGCAGTCAGCCAAATCCCCCCTCATTATCTATGTCCCTGTTCCCACCCTCACTCTGTTCTTTGCTGCTTGAGCCAAGCTGTTTGCTGGTGGTCTGCAGAAACCAATCTCCCTCTTCCTTCCTCAGTGAGATTCAATATCATTAGCCCTCCAGCAGACTCACCAATACAACACAATTCCTGGGCCTGGTTCTCAGCCACAGCCCACAGAGACATGGTCAGAGGCCAGGGCACAGTAGGTATGAAGAACCAACAGCACAGAATGGCAGCACTGGGCACTTGCTTTGCACAAGATGAACGGGGACCACTGTATTGTGATTGTGTGTGATACATGTTATTTGATTGTGTTAGTTACTTGTGTGAGTTGGTTATGTATGCATGTGAGTTGGTGGTTTTTTCACACTGTTGCATGTTTCCACCACAGTCCTACTCCTGATCTGAGGTTCTGCTGTGTGGTATAAATCTGGAGTAACCTATTTACATCAAAGTAATGCAAATCAGTACCTAACTATCACATTCCAATCCAGCTAATCAGCTGGGGAAATGCAAATCTCCCCCAGACATCTTGGTAAGCCTCAGGTCTGAGAGCTTCCACGCCATACCTACCTGACCCCCAGCAATACCAGCACTGTGAATATACAAATAACCTATGCTAGAGAGTAACCCAGCACCCAAACTACTAGAAGATCACAGTTTAGGGTTAAACAGAGTCTCCTCTCACTTCCTTCTATTCTCCCTCCTATGGAGAGGGATCTGGTTTTCCTTTTGGGACCTCAGGAACTTTATGCAAAAGTGGGGAAAGGTTTAAAACCAGGGGGCAAAATGCAGCTACTAGTAAAGGTGTATGCTTAAAATCTCCATTAGATTATTAACCCCTTTGATCCCTTCCTGAGGTTGAGGTGTGAGCAGGGTGTAAGTTTATTCTTATATTCTCATTGTGGGCCAAATAATGTATTTTCCCTTAATCTCAAGAATGGTTGAACTGTTTTAGCTGAGATTTGCCAGAAAAGTTTTTCCTGAACAGATACCTGACATGGAAAAATGGTTAAAGTTTGGCAAAGTTGCTATAGGCAACTAGAAACAGTGTTTAATAATGGGAAGTGTTGGGTAAGTGTGAGCTCTGCCTATACTAATTAGATAGATAGATTTTGAGTTTCGTTTGATGATGCCCACTTCTCTCCCTACCCATTTTTGAAAGGTTCAAGTTTTAAGATTTTTGTAATGCAGTGTTACTTACTGTTGTGTTACTTAAAAGTGTCAATAAACAGCTTCTGGTTTATATTCTGCCATGTATTTCCAGGGGCTGGGTGGCCATCAGGTGACAGAAGGGCTAGAAAGCCAGAAAGAAACAAATTGAAGGAAGCATTTATTTACTTTACATAAACATATAAGAAAACAATGTTAATAGATATATAACAAAGGATTATCCTAGAAGTAAGGGACTCAGAAAATAGACGTTATAGGTCTTTATTGCCTTATCCACCCCTTTATCTACCCTCCATTCCCATTCATACATTTCTACCTATTAATCCATCTATCCATAAATATCCATCTATTACCCTACATATCCCTCCTTCTACCCATCTCTAGCTGTCTCTCCCCATATTTACTCATTTATCTAACCTAGCTATCTATATACATATTTAAATCTATGTATCCATATTTATTATATATATCTTCATCTATCCATCTATATTCATTCATCTATACTCATCCATCTATGCTAAGCACATCTGGTCCAAAAAGGCATATAGTGCAATAGGCAGAAAGTGGGGTGCCTATTGGGTGGGGAGAAATATATCCATTCCAAAATCTAGCCCCTCTAGCCTCCTACTGGAAGGGGGGGTGTCTGTCTCTGAACAGCCCTCCATCTCTCTCATTCTCTCCCTTTCATCCCTTCTGCAGGGAGAATGGCATTTTAAAAGAAAACATAAAGACCCACCCAGCCCCTCCCTTCATTCAATAAAGACTCGCAGACTCCCCCCTCCCTCCATACACATCTGGGCTCAACTCTCTCCGCTCCTTCCGCCTGCCTCTTGCCCCTGTCTGCCCCCCTCTGGCCAGATGTGCATCCAGGCGGAGGGGTTCAGCTGGGAGGTGCTGAGGCCAGGGGAGCTGGAACTACTTTTCCCCAGCAGCAGCAAGCAGCAGGAGCCGACCGAGGAAGCTATAGTCTGACTCTCATTGTGTGTGTGTGTGAGGAGAGACGGAGGCAGGCACAGGAGCTTCTGTAAAGCCGCCTGCCCACGCAACTTTCCCACCAGGGTTCCCCCCTCCACCACACACACTGAGTAACACCCCTTCTCTTGCTGCATCTCCAGGCCCTGGAATCAGGACCCCCCCATTTCCACTCCCTACTCCTGGAGGTCACTTTTATTTTTGTGCACAAGTTGCTACATCTTTGGAGGAAGAAAGAAGCCATAGAAGGAAACTGAGGTCAAATCGTCCCCAGGGGAGAGAGTTGGGGGGAAATCCCTCATTTTTAGCCCAACTTCCTCCTCCCTTTTTTGCGTTTGGTAGATTATTTTTTGCGGGGGGCAGGGAAGCATCTGGAATTTCAGGTGTTGGGAGCAAAGGGGTTTGTTACAAAGTCCCCCCCCCCAATTCAGGGGAGTTTAGGAAACTTTTGAAAGGGAGGAAAAAATTCAGTCTGAGAAAGGAAACCCTGAAATCCTCCCCTCTTTGCAGCAAATTTTGGGGATCCCTCCATCCTGGGATCCGTCCCCCCCATGGATTTTTCTGAGATTGTAAATTTCGCCCCCTCGCTGTTTTAATTTTGGATTATTTCAAATCGCCACCGACCAGCGCGCGCGAGTCCTCCACCCTGCACCAGGGCTCAAGGGGGGATTCCTGTGGTGGAGGGGGCCGCAAAGCAGGGGGAGCTGGGGGGAAATGCCTTCCGTGATGGAAAAATCCGCCCCGGCCTCCGGGATCCTGTCGAGGAGCCGGGCGAAATCGGCCACCAATGGCAATCATCAGACCTCGGAGGATGAGAGCAGCGAAGAAGAGCATTCGCACGGTAAGTGCCAGATTGGGGGCACAGCTATTGTGCAAGGGGCAGGGAGCTAGCTACGGTCCACACGCGGATCACGCGTGCGTGTCCCGGAACGGGAGCTGAGAATGATTCACTTGCGACACGCATGTGGTTTGGGGAGAGTGGGGGCTTGTAACACGCCACGAGTGTGGACTAAGAGGGGTGGGGGCTCACGCCACGCGTGTGATGGGGGGAAGGCTTGTGACACGCCGCGCTTGTGGACGGGGTGTGTGTGTCACGCCACACTTGTAGTACACAGCACCTCCCCGAGGAGGAGAAAAACTCCGCTGGAGTGCGAGGCCCTAAGGGTCAGGGATAGGGAGCTGGCGACAACTTCCCGGGTCTGGGGAAGGGACAGGGAGTGACCCGGTTCCCCCAGTACCAGGAGGTGCGCGGGCGGGGGAGAATCGGAGTGCGATGCTGCTTTCCCTAGTGACTTGAATGAATCCCACTTTCAAAGGTGCCTCGGAATCCCCTCCTCACCTGGCGTCCAACGGGGAGACTTGGTGACCCCTCCCCCCTTTCCCCGTGGCTCCTGGGGTTGGCGGGGAGGACCGGGACTCAAACACAGTGTCGAATGCAACAATGCTGGATATATAATTGCTCCTGCAATTCCATCTGGGACCCGATCCCTGGGAGTGGGGGCGGAGGGGGGCAGAATAACAATGGAGTATCGGGGGCCAACCTGTTCCCAAACTTAGCTCCAGGGGGAGTGCAGCAGCGCTCCCGACCGAACAAAGAGCCGGGGCATCACTGGAAGGTTGGTTTTGCTAACAGCTTCGACCCCATTGTCCCCTGGCGCCCTCGTGTGTGCCTGCCTCCCAGCGTCAGCCGGCTTTGTTAGCCCCCCTCCCCCGCGCCGCACACCAGCGCCAGCTAGGGATGTGCTGGGGGTCCAAGGATACTGGAGCGGCCGATTCCTCCTACCGACCATGTGGAATCCGTTCGGGGAACGTGTGTGTGTGTGGTGGGGGGGGGCAGTTACGCCCCTTTGGTGCTGGCTCTGGGGAGGCACAAGCAACCCAAGAAGATGGTGAGGGTGTCAACAGGGTGGAGTGCTGGCTGGGCTGGGCATCCTCCCTTGCCAGCCCTGTTAGCCCATCACTAAGGAGAAAGGGTCTCACCTCCGAGACCTCGTATGGTCCCCCAAGTGCGCGGGGGGTGGCGTCCCACCGCCCCCAGCTGGCCAAGCTGTTGGGAAATTCTGCCAAAGACACCCCCTCCTCCCCAGCGAGAGAGTCTGTCACAGCTGCGGCGCAGCCAGCCACCACCCCCTGCTGGGAGGGAGGGGAGGAGTGTGTGTCCTAGAAGGTGGGGGTCAGTGTGCAGGAAGGGGGGCAGCTACCTGGGTGGTACTCAAGAACAACTGGAGCCTTCCCACGTTTATCTTCCCTGTGGTTACGGGATCCTCCTTCTAGGAGCAGACACCCCACCCTCCACTCTCCATCTTCCCCTCCCTCGCGTGTGTTTCTTGGGCCCTGTGCCGGAAAGTGAAAGCAGGGCAGCTCCTTGGCAGGAGCTGGCTAAATGCTTCCAGATCAGGCTGCAGCTGTGACAAGTCAGGTTCCCTGGGAAAGGGAGCGAGGGGCGGGCGGTAGAAAGGGGAATGGGATAGAGCAGCCCCTGAACCAGTGCGTGCGGGGCTACATGACTTGTCCAGCTCTGAGCTGCAGACGCGGGGAGGGGGGCTGTTGATCTACCAGGAGCTGGGATGCAGCCACCTCTCGGGAGGGCTGCCGGCGCGGATGCACAGCTCCACAGCACAAGCTCCACCGGAGTTGGGAAGCGAAGAGAAGCCGTACTTGCTTGGCAGGGTATTTAGGGAGAAGGCTGCTAGAGCTGGGAGTTAATACTGCATTAGCCAGCACTGACTGGGAGGGCAAGCCCCCCACTGAGTTGCATGGCTCTTCCTGCAGCACAGCGCCCCCTAGCGCTTCACTGGGGCATTGGGGTCAGCCCTGACTGCAGGGGAGAGAACCCCTTACTGAGCCCCATGCCCAGCTCCCTGCAGCACAGCACCACCTAGCGCTGCACTGGGGTCAGCACTCAATGCAGGGGAGAGCACACCCTATACAGCCATCACTTCCTGCAGCACCTTGGGGGGCCTCCTAACCAACCTGGGTCACAGCCCAGCCCTACTCTAGGTCAGCTGGGACCTGAGGGTCCAAGACTTCCCCTCCTTGGGGGAGGGGAACAACGGGCTGGGGGCCTAACTCCTGGGTTCTCTCCTTCGGCACCCTCACACCTGTCCCTCTCCTTCCCTTATAGACAGCATGATTCGGGTCGGGGCCGATTACCAAGCTGTGATCCCTGAGTGCAAGCCAGGTAAGGGCACTGATGCTGTCTGGCTTCCTGTGGGGGCAGAGGAATGCAGAGATAGCAGGGGCACCACTCCTTGGAAAATCTCCCTCCAGGCTCCCAGCATCAATGGCTCCCCCTCCCCCAGTTGGTCTGTTTGCAGGAAGCCTTCTCCCCTCATGTGGGAGACCCCTCCCCTTAGTGCCTGGATGGGATTGAATGGGAGTGCTTGGCTTTGTTAAGGTTCCAAAGGGTGGAGGAGCAGAGGGGGAAAGTGTACTCGCTTCCTCCTTGCATGGTGTCTGCACCTACCAGTACCCCATCTCCCCCATCTCTGGGAGCAGAGCAACATTCTCTGGGCTTGACTTTACCCATAGTTTCTCCTTCCTCCCACTTACATATTGACACAGCGAGAAGCTTTTCCTGGCATAGAGCCACAGCTGCTTCCAGTGTCAGCTGGGCTGCTGGGGGCTCAGCTTTTTTCACTGGGGCTGCAGATTAGGGTTGACGGGCATCATCAGAGTTGTGTGGTGGCTGGAGACCAGGGCTGGCATAGCAGAGGGCTGCGGGTCAGGACTGAGGGACACTGGCAGAGCTGTGGAGTCTTGCTCCCTATTTTGTGAGGTGTCCTATAGCAGAGCAGGGGGAAGAGGGCTCTGTGATGGGTGGGGCCCAGTAGATTCTGGCGTGAAAAGCTCTGTGCTGACCCTTTCTCTCCTGTCTGTCTGATGCAGAAAGCCCCGCTCGCTACAGCAACAAGGAGCTGAAGGGGATGCTGGTCTGGTCACCCAACCACTGTGTGTCTGATGCCAAATGTGAGTAGCCCCAGGCCCCTATCATTGGCAAATGGGCACTGCAGCCAGGGCACCTGTTGACTGGGGCTGTTCCACTCCCATCTGGGCAAGGCACAAGCCCAGAAACCCCTCTGGCCCCCTCCTCTGGCCCATCAACCCCCTCCATGTCTGCTGATCAGTACACCAACTCAGACTAGGTTTCTTCCTTTCTGCCAACCCTAGTTCACTGCCTCTTTCCTCTGACCCAGTGCACTGCCTCCAGCCCAATGCACTGCCTGCCTCCCATAGCTCAGTTCCTCATTTTTCAGCCCAGCATGCTATTTCCTCCCCTCCCCAAGTCCAGCAACCTCTTCTGTGCCCCCAGGTCCACCCAGCAACCCCCACAACCCCGAATGCTGCACCTCCTCCCTGTCCAGCATGCCTTCCCTAGCCTGGCACACAAATCCCCTGATCCAACCTCTCCCCCTCAAGCCCGGTGTGCTGCCTCTCTTTCCC